GGAAAGGAAGAGGGAGTGGGAAAGAGGCAGGGGAGATTATAATCATCACAGTTTGAGTAGAAATGGCTGCACTTACTCCTTTTATTGAAACCTCTGGGGTGTTCAAGGATGTTCAATTGCATCAAAAATCACTTCCTGGACTTATACTGCCTGAACAACAGGCAGCACCTACCTGGGTATAGTTGCAGAGATACACACACAGTGGTTTGACCAGCAATGCAATGCAGGAACAGTTCTTACAGAGAATCTGAGCTTGCTTTCCATCTCACTTACCAGCTTTTTATTAACTATCATTGCCAAAACTCAGTCTTCAGCAGAAAACTGAGTGGAAACAGGGATCAACTAAAGCCAAAGTTTGAAATCATCCTGCAAGGACGGGAAAGTCTCTGAGAAAGAGAAGGGTATGAGAAACAGTCAAGTTGCTCAGACAAAAACATTGCACTGAGGACCTGTGAGCACAGAAAAAGATCCCTTTGACATCTGTTCTGTTGAGAATTAGCTCAATACTAAGAAATTATACAGAGAGGATTTAAGTAATATATTAATACTGCAACACAATAATATAAGTAAAACATTATGTAAGATGTTAATATATAATATGCTATGAATAAAAAGAAAAATGTTTGTTTATCCAGGAAGAATGATCTACTGTCTCCTTAGAGGGTTGTACACAGAGATCACAACAAAGCATGGAGTGAAGAGCTCCGCAATGGCACTGACCAAGTGTCACTGACCATTCTCTAAATGAAGCAGTAGAGTCTGTTCATCCCAAGGAGCTCATCCCAAGGAGCAGGGCTTACAACCTCAGATCCCATAATTTAGTGTGATTACTGTACCTCAGGATCAAAGCTGTAATCTCTGCTAGCAGTGTGCAAGACTGCTCTTTAACTGAAATTCTCTGTACACAAAACCCTCATTTGATGTTCTCTCCAATCTTTCACCTCCTGTTTAATAAACTGTGAAAATAGCATTGTTCAACTCCCAAAACCAGCTGTTCATAAGTAACTAGGAAAAAGTTACTGGGCCACTGATAGGAAAGAAATGTTGATCCAGCAGAGCAGAACCTGAAAGGTTTGCAGACAACTTTACCAGGAATCTTTAAAGAAGATCCAACTGAAAAAAGAGCAGTTTTAATAACATATCACTGAAACAAAGAACAGTCCTCCTACTAACTCCAGTGTCACAGCATCCAGATATAACAGCGTCACTCAAACTCACTTTAAAAGCACAGCCTGTGAAAGTTACTGTGAAGGTCACTAGGGAGAAATGTAGCATTTATTTTTTCATTTGCGAAACATCTTCCCTGCAGCAACTGAGTTCCAATAGAGAAAACAACACTGTTACTGCAGAGGATTTTCATAAGCTCCTGACATAAATCATTTTGAAATCACCACTCATTTTCACAAAGTCTCTTTTGATAAAAACTGTGGATGCAGATATCTTTCACATTTCTTATCAGGTTCTGTGTTACAATGTTTCATGCATTAATATTACTGCAGACTGTAAAATGAAATGGACTGTAGTCCAGCAATTAGCCTCTCACAAGTAAATATATAATAGATGGTTTTAATTAAGTTTTAAAAGATACACAAAGCAAAGTTAAGAAATACTAAAGATTAAAAAAAAAGGAAAAGAAAGCAACATAAGGAAACAAAGGATGTAGTCTGATGGGAATTTATCTGTGTGATTACAGAAACTTGAAATACAAAGGAGGGAGCATTCATACTTCTCTCAATATTGAGCATCTCTCTGTTTTTCTAAGCCCATAAAGCCCTACAACAGTCCTCTTACTACAGCAGCAAATAATCCTGACCATGCTTCACCTCCAGCCAACATTTTTCTCCTGCTTTATCCCCTTTTTTTTTTTTTTTTTAATATCCAGTAATAGATCACTTTTGCATTCATGCTTCTCTGGAGTCCAGACAATTGACAACTAATCACTGAGGTGGGCAAGCTATTGTAGCAGGCTTAACAAGCTCTACCACTCAATCTTACTTTGTGATTACCTCAGAATAATTACATCTGGAGATAACTGATGAAGATCATATTAGGCTAAGGCAAAGTGGAGACCAGTTAAGTGTAAATCAATTACAGCTGAAAAGAGAGGAAAGGGGACAGAGGTATTACAGGACTATTGCTGTTATTTATGGAGCAGCAGTGGAGAATTCAAATAATTTCTTATACTTACAATAGCTGTCGGAGTCGAAGCCAGCACACAGTAGAGCACCAGAGGTGAAATGAAGCTCTCATCCTCTGTTCCAGGGTATGGTTTCATCAAATTGCCATCCTGACAGAAGAAACCTTGGATATGCACCTGAAAAGTATCGGTGCACTCGAAATAGTAGGCAAGCAGAACAGTCCCAGCCATGATGACAAGCTGAAAATACAGCATGGTGACATAGAGACATTAGTTGTTTTTTTAACAGATGCAGCTATGCCTTCAAGCTACTCTAGTCCTGCAGACAATCCTCCCATCATCAACACCCCGACGGTCTTTGCAATGCTAGTGTGTGTGTGTGTGCATGTGCGTTTCTGCTTGCCGCTTTGCAACATCTGTTACATAAACCTTTTGGCAAATGACACTAATGAACGTCTCACATAGAAAGTGGGTCCGTAACGCAGCTTGTGGAGGGATGGGAGCTTTGGACAGCTACTTCATCAAAGGGCATGTGAGTGTCAGGGGCGGCGGCAATCAATGAAAGCTAGCAGGATAAGAGGCAGCACTGCAGGAGCAGAAAGTGGAAAGCTAAAACCTGTAGGGAGCTGGAAGGGATTGTTACAGGGATAAAGGAAGCTAAAGCCAAAATGCTTCCCTGCCGCAGCGGCAAGCCCACAATGGGGAATGCGTACTCTCTGCTCAACCAGAAGAGTCCTCTGTGGGTCAGATGAAGGCTCATCCTGAGGTAAACCTGCCTCCAGCCCCTCACCTTGCTCTTCATCTGCTGCTTACTAGGAAAACTTTAGGAAACTGCTCAGTAATCCTGTCTCTCCAGACAGTTGGCTGGGATCACTCTGCCCTGTTTGCCTATCCCATCCATTGCAACCACCTCTGGAGGAGTCTTTGGCTTGAATCTAGATCTTCACACTTAAAAATATGAACCATAAAGAGGTCTTGTCTCATTTTGTAGTTTACTGCTGATTAATTGCGCTGCCTGGAAAAGCTCAACTATTTTGTATGCATTCACCATTATTCTATGCAATCCACATCAGTCACAGAATCACAGAATGGCCAGGGTTGGAAGGGACGTCAAAGATCATGAATCTCCCACCCTCCACCACAGGCAGGGCCACCAACCTCCACATTTAATGATAGACCAGGCTGCGCAGGGCCCCATCCAACCTGGCCTTGAACACCTTCAGGGACGGGGCATCCACAACCTCTCTGGGCAGCTGTTCCAGCACCTCACCACTCTCTCTGTAAAGAATTTCCCCCTGGCATCCAACCTAAATCTCCTCTCCCTCAACTTAAAACCATTTCCTCTTGTCCTGCAGTTATCAACTCTTTCAAAGAGTTGATTCTCCTCCTGTTTGTAGGCTCCCTTTAGGTATTAGAATGCTGCAATGAGGTCACCCTGCAGCCTTCTTTTCTCCAGGCTGAACAAGCCCAGCTTCCTCAGCCTGTTCCCATAGTGGAGGTGCTCCAGACCCCTGATCATCTTCATGGTTCTCCTCTGGACCCTCTCAACAGCTCCCTATCTTTCTTGTACTGACCTGGACACAGTATTCCAGATGGGGCCTCACAAGAGCAGAGTACAGGGGGACAATCACCTCCCTGTCCCTGCTGGCCACCCCTCTGCTGATGGAGCCCAGGATACCATTTGCTTTCAGAGCTGCAAAGGCACACTGCTGGCTCATGTTAAGCTTTTCATCCATCAGGACCCCCAGGTCCTTCTCTGCAGGGCTGCTCTCAAGGACCGCTCCTTCCAGCCTGTACGGATGCCTGGGATTCCTCCGGCCCAAGTGCAAAACTCTGGGCTTTGCTGTGTTGAACCTCATCAGGTTCACCCAGGCCCACCTTTCCAGCCACATCTACATCCCTCCAATTTGGAGATAGGGATGTGGTGAGGGACCATGTCAAAGGCCTTGCTCAAGTGCAGGTAAATGACATCAGTCGCCTTTCCCTTGTTCACTGATGCCGTCACTCCATAGAAAGCCACCAGATAGGTTAAGCATGACCTTCCCCTGGTGAAGCTGTGCTGGCTGTCTCGGATCACAGCTCATTCCTCATGTAATCAAGCATGTTATCCAGGATGATCTGTTCCATGATCTTCCCAGGCACAGAGGTGAGACTCACTGGCCTGTAGTTCCTGGGGTCTTCCTTGCTGCCACATCTCCAAACAGCCTCACCAAGGCTGTCTCTAATCTAACATCTTACAATAAGCGAATACGCTAACTCATCATTCTTCTTCACTCTCTGACAGACAGCAAAAGAAACCTCACTTCAAAATCCTCATCACTTACAAAAGCAGTAATATTGATCTGGATATTATGACAATGAGAAGATCAAATTCACAGTAGTCATTGTAGAGGGTAGGTCCTCCTATCACTGCTATCATAAACATAGAAGTTCCTTTACTGTACGTTAGGAAAAAAACAATACAAACAAATTTGAAATACCAAACTCCAAAGTTCAAAACATTTTCCTTTCAAAAGATGCACATGAAAATTGCTTTACTGAGAGATTACCATAAGAACAGACCTTGTTCTAAAAAAGACACAATTTTTTTTTTTTTAAAAATTTTTTTTTTTTACAAACTATTTGTGTATTCCTCTGACCTAACCTTGCAACGGGCTGTGACAGCCAACAACGAATATTTGGGCAGTTGTTGGACCAAAATTAGAAGAAGAAAAAAAGAAATCAGAAAAATCATTCATGAAAGTAAACCACAGAAACTGATTTCTAGTATGAATGTACTGCATAAAATGTTAATCAAATGTTTCCTGAAGATTTTTGTTTTCTTCTGATTATTCAGTAACTTTTAGATCACAAACATACTCTGGAATTGCAGACATACAGTCAATACATGGCATCTTCTGCTCCTTTCCTGTCACACTTCTCCTGTGTCCAGTAGTGGGTCCTTTGGAGAAGACTGGACCACCGGAGAAGGCTGGAATCTCAAAAGACAGTCTGTGCATTTTGTCCTATGTAGTAGGTATCTCTGGAAGCATGTGAGCAAATGTACTTTTTTACTTCATCTGGACCATGTAGACTGAACTGCTCGAGTATTTCATTTCTGAAATGTGTACCTGAAAAAGTCCTTTGTTTGCTCAACTTTTACTCTTATATTCAAAACACAATACCTGCTCCAGTGGACGTTTTTTCAAATAAGTGTAAAGCAAGATGCTATTATTTATTTCCCAGAGACATTTAGAGCATCCTAGTTGAGTCAGTGGGACTTCCTATAAACAAACACAGCTCTATAATTAAGGGATTAGAAGATGAGAATTTAATTCCCTCTGTGGCTATAGATTACTTGATCAACCAATTTTATAAATTAATACCAGAGGAAGGCAGTGATGCTATCACCACTGCACCTGATAAAGACATAAACACGACAGACTACCTGAGTTGACTACCTGGGATGCAGCTTACTTCCAGCACTTCACACAACCAGGGTTGTCAATAATAACCTGACCCATCCCTCCTGTTCCAAACACATCTCCAGAAATGCTTCAGGTTGACAGCGTATAAAATAAAATGAGGTAGGACATAAAGAGATGGGTCAGTGGGAGCTGCTTTTTCCCTTGTCACAGGAAAAAGGAGAAAACAAGCACTGAACTTCTACCGTTCCTTGGATGGCACAGGAAAAGCGTATTTTTCAGGAAAAAAAAAAAAAAGCTTTTTGATGTTTTTCATTTGTTTGTTTGTTTATTTTTGCTTTTTTGTTGTTTGTTTGTTTTATGTGAAAGATTTCACTTATCCCAAAAGTACTCTCTAGCAGCAGTTGACCTTCCCAGTGCAACATGTTGCCTCAGTGCTGCATGAAAACACCTCCTGCATATGAAATGCCCCTCTACTTACTTATGTCATTACTGACCTACAGCACAGACATCTCAGTAATAAATCAAATCCTGTTCACAGCTTGGTTTTTGTGTTTTGATCTTCTGAGAAAAACAAATAAACAAGCAAATAAAAACATATCTGCAAAAACAGATAACAATCCTGAGAACGCTGGACATCTCAGGGAAACGGCAACAGCAAAACAGAAATTAGACCTGCAGTTTAACACATCCTTCTGTGGACCCATGAAGACAGGGGATTATATGAGGTACAGAAATTACAGACCAGTTATTTACGTGAATATGCGCAAAATTTTTGCTGCTCCTGTCAGCAGTCAGTGAAAACCTGACCATGTTTGTGGCATGATTCTGTGATTCATGTTGAGTATTCACTGTTGTCAACAGCTTCTTTTTATCTCCTTCTGCCTTTCCTTTTCTTTTTCTCCCCCTTTCCCTTTTCCTTTTTGTTTGGTGATAGTTTTGTGTTTATTTCTTGTGGCAATTGTGGCACTTTTGTTTTTACTAATCACAGATGCCTTAATCAGCTTTTGTCACCCACTCTTTCAATTAATAACACTAGGACTTAAAAGGACAAGTGCAGAAATCCTGGATTCTTGCAGCCATGGTAGCCTTGTAGCAGATAATTTTCCCTTTTCTCTTTATTTTAAAGTTTACAGTATTTGAATGAAGTGGTGAGGAAGTGCAGGTAGGCTGACAAGATAGAAACCATCTAGTGATATCGTTCAGAAGACGGAACACAGTTTAGCACTAATATTTCACAGGGTATACTTATCAGTCCTTACTGATGCATTTCCTTGAGTTCATTTGAGAAAAAATAACCCCCCCCAGTATTTCAGTTCAGAATAGCAACCGAGGAATAGAATTGTCTAAGGTGCTTAATGGCCTTCATTACACAGTATTTAAGCAAATCATAATCCTTAATGTTTTTCATAACTACTCCACTGTAAGATAAGAAAATGCTTTTATCACCATTTTACAGAGAGGAGACAAAAGCAGGAGATAAAATGACTTCCCTCGGGTCACCATTGAGCCTGTGGCTCAAACAAGATTTATCGTTCTGTTGGACTCCCTTTTTTCTGGTTTAGTCAATAATCTGCACATGAAAAACTCAGTGATGTATGCTCTGATCCTGATTCTGCAGAAGCTTGCCCATGATGCAGTTAACAAAGCACACCACATGTCTGATCCAGCCCCATTTAAAAACTTCCGCTTGACTTCAGACCTGCATCAACAATGTGGATTCAACTGGTTTGTGTTTTTCCCTAAGAGCAAGCTATTAAAATGCATTAATTCTGTAGCACCTCACTCAACACCTGTTCCTCCCCACGCTTTATATTCTGTACCTCTCTACAAGCC